TGCAGCCCTTTTCTTTCAGAGTTTGGAGGACCCTTCGAGTTGCGACGGCAGCCCGTCCCTACCGAAGTCTGCGTCCTGCCGACCCTGCGCGATGTTCTCGTCCTGGAAGATGGGCGGCGACAAGGGCCCTGGGCAGCAGAGCCGCCAAGGAGGCCCCTACGCGCCCCGCTACAACCAGCAACGGTCACGCGGTGGGTCTGGCCCCACCAACTACGCCTCCTTCGGAAGCAACGGCGGCGGTGGATTCAGCAGCATGCTCGGCCAGATGACCTCCGCTATGAACAACATCGCCGCCCTCGGGGAGCTCACGCGCGTGGGCAATGCGCTGGCCCACTCTCAGCAGCATCCGACGGTGCCGACCCCAGGGACGTCAGGCGGGACCTCTCTATCACGACCAGCTGTTCCCGTGCAGACTACTGGCGTCTCTACGACTTCGGAGCCAGCCCGTGAGCTTGTCGGGGCGCTCACGGATGTACTCCGGCCCAGCGTTCCAGGAGACACCCGACTGCAGAAGACGGTGGACCGCTTACACAGCCTGGTTGGCTCCACCCCTGGGTCAGGCACTTCAACTACCCCTACGGCGACAGGCTCAACGACGGCACAGGCCGACACCTTCATAGCCAACCACCCCGTCATCCAGAAGCTCCAGAACAACGCGGCGACCCTGCAGACCACCGTCGAGGCTCATGGCCAGCAGACTGGCAGGATTAACAACACCCTGGCCAGTACAGCGGAGGACTCAAGGGCGACTCGCCAGTTGATGGAACGGATGCTCGGCAGGCCTCGACCTACACCCCAGGCAGGACCACCTCTCACCCCGCCCAGAGCGGGCCCACAACCATCGACTCCAGCAGCGACCACACCGACCACACCGACACCTACAGCTGGATTCCCCACTCTACTAACGACTGGCGGGGGTTGTGCGGCTCCTACCCTGTCAACCTTATTCAAGACCCAGATGACCACGGCGGATCATGATCATGCGTTGAGTATCCTGGGCATCAGCGGTGGGCGCCAAAACATGGTTCAGCTCTCCCAGGAGATCGCGTCTGCCGAGGGCGCCTCGATGCTTTTCAGTGAATGGTGGTCTCAGGTTCAGCGGTGCAAGGGGTTATCGCAGTGGCAGACGAAGCTTCAGAGCTTGGGAATGCCAGCCACCGGCATTCAGTTAACAAGCAGTTTCACGAAGGTCGGACAGATCATGTATGCCCGCATGCTGTATGACGGAACATGGAGTGCCACGGATCTCCAAAACATTGTCATCGGCTGAGCAACAGATCATCCAGCTGCTTCGTGGTTGGTGGCCGCAGATCCTACAGAACACATCTGGCCACTTTTTCGTTTGCTATTAATCCCACCAGCCCTTTGGGCGTGAGTGGTTTAGAGAGCCCGCTCTGTTCTCAACCCCCTTCTTCCCCTTCGGGGAGGGGTTTACCCCTCCCCCTACCCCCTCCCCCTGGGCCTGGAGAGGGCGTCTCGCGGGTCGTTGGAGGGGTCTTTTTCGACTCCTGGGAGGGCTAAAATTCGACACCCCTCACGAGGATTCTGGCCCCGACGGGGGGGGGGAGAAAAGTGCTCGCCCCATCTGTGATCGATCGCCCGACAGATGGCCCCAAGATTCCTCCCAGACCCCTCCCAAAGAGTCCCAAGAGGCCCCAAGAGGCCTCCAAGAGGCCCCCAAGATGCCCCCAAGAGGCGCCCAAGAGGCCCCAAGAGGCTCCCCCGAGGCACCCAAGACGCTCCTGGAAGCCCCTGGAGCCGCCAAGAGGCCCCCAAGACGCCCCAAACGGCCTCCAAGAGGCTCCCAAGAGGCCCGAAGAGGCTCCCCCAAGGCACCCAAGACGCTCCTAGAAGCCCCTGGGGCCGCCAAGAGGCCCCGAAGACGCCCCAAAAGGCCTCCAAGAGGCTCCCAAAACGACTCACACCACGACGAGGGCCCCGAACGACTCACACCACGAGGAGCCCGAACGAGTCACACCAGGAGGAGGGGCCCGAACGACTCACACGACGACGAGGGGCCCGAACAACTCACACCACGAGAAGCCCGAACGACTCACACCAGGACGAAGAGCCCGAACGACTCACATCACGAAGAGCCCGAACGATTCACACCAGGAAGAAGGGCCCGAACGACTCACACCAGGACAAGAAACCCCAAACGACTCAAACCACGAGGAGCGCTTTCTCTCCCTCCTCCTCCGCCTCGTCCTTCTCCCGCTCCCACCACAAGGAGGATGTACAAGGAGGCGGGAGGAAGGAGGAACAGGGGAGATATGCGGGGGCAGGCGGAAACACGCCTGAAAAACACGACTGTCGGCATGCTTCGCAAGAGTTGCTGTTTTGAGATGGGCTGGTGGGGATACGCGAAGCGGCAAGAATTCTCATCCCGGTAATCGTGGCTGCATGGACGGCGTATCAGACTTGCATCTTCGTTGGGTTTGCTCGGACCTCAGCCGAGAGCATGCTCACCTTAGCGACCCAAAGGACTATGACTATACTTCCGCTGGTTGGCAGTCGTCTTTTTCTTCAACTGTTTCTCCCTGAGGTTGGTGGGTGTTTTCAGATTGCCGCAAAACTGTCCGGAGGTCGTCATCCCAATACGTTTGCTTCTTCATCAATACGGGCAGATACACAACCCACGGTGGGAGAGACGTGGGCGTGGTTTGCCGCAGTTGCCCAACCCATCATGATCGGGATCTGTGCCTGGTTAGGCCACTAGTGATAACGATTGTGATCTCAGTGGTGCTACAAGTAACTGCATCCGTGATGGCTTAAGAATGCTCTTGAGCCTGATGCAGCGGTTTCTTTAGCATCCCACCCCTTATCACTTTGGTCGGGATGTGTGTGTGTGTGTGCGCGTGCCTTTTTCATTCATTTCAATGACCTCTGATGCAATTTCAGCACACACAGGCTTCTAGGTTTGTGAAATCTCATTGGACAATAGCTCGGAACCTGTATGCTCTGACTCTTTTGGTTTCATGTCTCGGGCCGTCTGCGTTGGGTAATCCGCGCGTCGACGTCTTTGGGACTCTTGGGGTCCTGCTGGTGTGCCAGTGCAGGTTCTCTGTCTTCCTCTTCCTCTCTCCCCTGCTTGTTCTCTTCTTCGCTTCCGTCCTCTCGCCTCCTGGCCGTGCCCCTGCTCGCTCGCTCCCCTCGCCTGCGCCTCCTGCCTGCGATCCTACCAGACAGCTGCCGTCTGGGTTTTCGCATTGCAGCCTTTATGTTCAAAGCCTCCGAGCGGGGGGGTTAGGAGCTCGCTCAAGGCCGAAAGGCCGCAAATACGTATTGGCTCCTCGCTCGGTTGCGCGTGTGACAGGATCGCCTGCGCTTGGGGCTTGTGACAAAAATTGCTACCTCGTGCGGGATTGTCTACGCCTACGGCGATTGAGGCTTCGCCTCTCCTGGCACTCCACCGTGGTGACGTCTTGGGAGCTGGTCTGCAGGAGCCTGGCTATCTTGATAACGACTACTCATCCAAGTGTGTGTGTGTGTGTGCGTGCGCGTGTGTGTGTGTGTGTGTGTGTGCATGTGTATGTGTGTGCGTGTGTGCGTGCGTGCGTGCGTGCGTGCGTGCGTGCGTGTGTAGGTATGTGTTTGTTCCCCTCCTGGCTCGACCCTGCTCGCGGCGTCGGCGGCGCTGGGCCGCCGGCGGCTGCAGCACCGCCCTGCGAGGCGCGCGGCGGCGGCGTCCGGGGCTCCGCGGGGGGCGGCCGCGGCATGCGCGCCCGGCGGGGTGTGGCGCCCAAGATTAGGTCGGGCACGTCCTCCTACAGGCGGACTTAAGACCAAAAACTCAAAACCTGGGGGGACAAGATTTTTGCAAAATATTCCAAAATGAACGGGGATACTAGAAAAATCGGCCCCAGACTATTTTGTTGACTCGTTTTGACGACTCCTCTTGTAGAAGGACGCGCCCGACTTGAAAGCCCAATGGGGCCCCCGCCGGGGCAGGGCTCGGCCCACCGGCCTGAGCCGAGGCGGCCACGGCGCCGGAGCCCGCGAGAGACCCAAAGACCCCCTCGAGGCACAAAGATGAAGCCGCTGACAGCAGTGATCGGTCTCCAGAGGTGCGGGAAGCGAGGAGGAAACGGTCAGCAGGTGCGCCTTAGCGTGTCGCGACGGCAGCCCAAGCAGCACGCAGTGCCCTGCAAGCTCACAGCGTGTCGCTCCGCTTCGCGGGGCGGGAGGCTGGGAAAGGCTCCAGACGTCGCTTCGCGGGGCGGGAGGCTGGGAGAAGCTCCAGACGTTGACGCCTGGGCTCCTGGACGTGGCTAGCGTGCCGTGCCGGAGCGTGGTGGGCCAGAGCCGGCGGCGCGCCACGCCAACTCGTGGTTTTGGACTCCGCCCAGGATCATCCGAAGACGCCCTCGGGACGCCAAGATAAACGTGAGGAATAAGGAGCTGGGGTGCGGTTTAGCTGTTGACAGCTGCCCTGATACGCAGTGCGGACGGAGGTCTTCGGACGTCAGCCACGCACGCGCGCATCGTCATCACCACGACGGACCCACCGCAGGCATGAGCAGGCGTGGAAAAGGCGAGGACGGGAGGCGTGGCCTCTACGGGCGGACTCCCACGCCCCAACCCCGGTCCAAGGCGCAGAGGCGCCAGTTCGCCGATTGCGCCCCAGAGTTTCATCACGGGCCCGCAATCTAGAAGTTGGCATGTCTGAAGAGGTCTCAAACAATCAATCAGTCGGAGGGAGGATGTGGTGAAGGAGCAGGGGGACGAGGTGGTTGAGGGGGCGAGGGGGGAGAAGGAAGAGGAGGAGGAGGAGGAGGAAGAGGAGGAGGAGGAGGAGGAGGGATGAAAAAGGAGAGAGGAAGAAGAGGAGGGAGGAAGAAGAGGAGGGAGGAGGAGGAGGCGGATGAGGATGGGGAGGAGGATGAGGTGGATGATGGAGAGGAGAGCGGATACGGGGAGGAATGGAGTACAGGTTTACTAGGAGGCCTGGGATGCCCAAGCATGTGGTGCAGGTGCATGCGCGTTCTCCCCGTTGTCGCCTGTATGGCGCAATTCACCAACATCAAGGCGTTGTCCAGCATGAACATAATGGACACACTGGCGTCGGCCTCGGAGAAAAACCTGGCCCCCCAAATGGAACCCCGCCCAGCTCGCTCACCCTTCTCTGCCACTTGTCCCCCAGAACCCTAGCCCCCGTGCGAGTACAAAAGCACAACCCCCCAGAGACATAGACTCTGATGTTCGTGTAACCCACCGCCTCCGCCTCACCCCATTTTCCCCCCCACACCCCCTGACACAGAAGCACCACCACTTTGGAGAGAAAGTCGACTCCAATAGTCGCGCAGCCCTCCAGCCCCGAAAGTAGTCTGGCTCCGGAACCGAGATTCAAACTACATCGTATCTCGATCTCTTAGGGGTGGGCCCAATCCTTCGTTTTCGACGCAACACCACCACAAACAACGTCTACATCGAAGATGAGTTGCCGAAGTGCGCGAGCCAGTGAGCGGTGCGAGGAGTCAGCGGAAGGAGGTGCCAGAGAGGAAGGAGCAGGAGAGGGAGGAGATGGGAGGTAGCGCAAACTTGGGGTGGGATCTCCTCTCCTCTCCTCTCCTCTCCTCCTCCTCCTCCCCCTCCCCCTCCCCATCTTCCTCCATCCCTTGTGCTGATAAACCCGCCGACCCTGTCGGCGTCTAGGTGGCACTGTTCCGTTTGACTCGTCGTCGTCGTCTTCGTGTCGTCGTCGTCGTCGTTATCGTCGCAATGGCCGATGCCGTCGCTGCTCCTTCCCGTTTCCCCAGGTACTCCTCTTCAACCGCACCGCAAGCCGCGAGGAAATCGAGGAACGTCGCAGCTCAGTCGAAGAGGAGCCCCTCCCCTTGGATCCCTTCCCCGCGGGGGGAGGAGGAGGGGGGGGGGTCCCAAACGGGGGCGGGGGGGGAGGGCAGTGGGCAGGTGGGGGGTGGAGAGGTCCCGGGTCAGAATGCAGGCCCCTGAGGGTCCTGGGAGAGGGTCGGTACCGGGCGTCCGAGGGGGATCCCGCATACGGGGTCGGCGGCCCCGGCCGCAAGGCCTTCCCGAGAGACTCACCCCCAGACGTGTCGGTAGAGCGAGGCGGCCATTTCGCCGGAGACTTCCTCTAGAAGCCATTGTCCCAGGGCGTGACAGTGTGAAATGGTTCCACGGGCGGAGGGCGGGGCGTTTTCAGAAGGTGTCCCTCGCCTCCGCGCCGCACAACAAGTTCGTCTTCATGTTCTCTGCAGCAGTCTCAAACAACTGGAGGGCGGGCCGTTTTTTCACAGCGTGGCTCTCGCCCTAGCGCCGTGCACACTCGTCCTCGCTTGCAACAGCTTCACTACAAATGGAGGGCGGGCCATTCTCACAGTGTGGCTCTCGCCTTTAGCGCGGCGCGCCGTCGACTTCAACAACGGGTCCATTTCACGGGAGGAGGGCGGCTCCTTTTCAAAATGTAGCTCTTGCCTGAGGGCCGCGCCCACTTCGTGTCAAAACGGGCAAAAACAGCTTCGCGGAAGGAAGGCGGCTCCGTTTCCAAAGTGTGGCTCTCGCCGGAGCGCCACGCACGTCCGTCTTCCAAGTCTGCAGCCAGCTTACAGATCATGGTTGAGATCCCAGACGTGGTGCCCTTGCACGGGCGGACATGACGCAACAGTCACATTAATGCGCGGTGCTGGTCCCAGGAGTGGTGTTCAGACGCAGGACGCAGCAGTCACGTTGATTCGCGGCGCGGAGGTTCCAGGAGCGATGATGTTCTGGCACGCCTGAGATTGTCTTCCAATGGAGCACTTCCCGCAATGCAGAACGAGTCTGAAAAAGGAAGGACCCATGAAGAGGGAACTCGGAGGGAGGTCTGCTTGGGACAGGATTGCCGCGTCCTTGGTTTACACTGGTGTTACTTCTCCTCCGCCCTACATCACCGTGACGAAAGTGTATTTGAATGTACCTTCGCCAATAGCGCAACAGGAAGGAGTAGTTCGGAAAGACCTCCAACTACTCTGCATGCGGGCGCATCCTGCTCGATACTTTAAAACGTGTGGCGCGGAGTAGCTCCCGATCCGATTCTGGGGTTACAGAGTTGTAGACTACTCCGCCGAATGACGCCTTCATCATTCGGAGTATTAAGAATAATAGGATATCGCTTCGCCATCGCATATTCAATAAACTGTTGCATGATCCGCTCCTTTCCCCCTCCTCCGCCTTCCTCATCGGCGTCCCTTCCTCCCTCATCCTTGGTGCATCTCCCCCTCGCCCTCCCCTTCCCTCCCTCCCTTCCGTGCCCTTTCCCGATTCCTCCTCCTCCTCCTCCTGCCTCTGCCTCCTCCTTCTCCTCATTCTCGTCCTCCTTCTCCTCAGACCCCTCAATATCGGCATACGTCTTGCCCTACCTCCTCACCCTCCTCCGCCTCCCCCTGCTCCTGGTCCTCCTCCTCCTGTCTGCACCCTCCCCGTCTGTCGCCACCTCTTCCTTCGCTTCCCTCTCTCCATCTGCCTCCGCCTCCCCTTCTCCTCCCCGTCGTCCTCTGCCTCCAGCTCCTTCTCCTCCCGCTCTCTATATATTCCTCCGTCCTCCCTCCTGTTCCTCCTCCCTTTCCCTCCTCCTGCTGCTGCTCCTCCTCCTCTTCCTCCTCCTCCTCCCTCCTCCCTCCTCCTTCCTCCTCCTCCTCCTTCTCCAATATCCTCCTCCTCCTGCCCTGTCCTCCTCCTGCCTCCTGCGTCTCCGCCGCCGCCTCCCCTCCCCTCCTGCTCCTGCGTCTCCTGCTGCTGCTCCTCCTCCTCTCCTCCTCCCTCCTCTCCTCCTCCCCTCCTCCTCCCTCCTCCTCCTCCTCCTCCTCCTCCTCCTCCTCCTCCTCCTCCTCCTCCTCCTCCTCCTCCTCCTGCTCCTCCTCCTCCTCATGCCGTGTCCTCCTCCTGCCTCCTGCGTCTCCCCCTCCGCCGCCGCCTCCCCTCCCGCACGCTCCCGGCCAGCGGCCGAGGCGCGGCGTGGGCCCCCGACGCCGCCGGCGTGCTGCCCCCGCCCGGGGCTGCGCGGGCGCCGTGAGCTGCCGTCTGGGCCCTCGCCCTGCGCCTGCCCAGACCCCCGCGAGATGTGGAAAGTGGAAAAAATCACGACGGTCTGTTTTTCGCTACGCTCGGCCTCCGGGGGCCCTTCCCGGGCCTCGGGACCGTCGAAAAACGATTCGGGATGAAAAACCGGTCCCAGGGAATGGGTCCGGACCTTTGGGGGTCGCGTCATGGAAAAATCATGACGTCGGGGGTCTGGGTCCCGCCTTCCCCTCCCCCTCGACGAGAGAGAGAGGAGGGAGAGAGAGAGAGAGAGAGGAAGAGGACCTGGAGAAGCAGGAGGGAAGGTATGCAGGAGGGAGGAGAGAAGGGGGGTCGGAGGCAAGCGGGGTGAGCTCGCGCCACAGCTCACGTCCTGCCCTCCGTCCCTCCCATCCGCTTCCACTGCGTTGGGCCCCTCCCTAAGCGCAGAGTCGGGTGTCAGGTGGAGGAAGAGGAGGAGGAGGAGGAGGAGGAGGAGGAGGAGGAGGAGGAGGAGGAGGAGGAGGAGGAGGAGGAGGAGGAGGAGGATTAAAAGGGCTTGAACCGCTGGGGAGGCCGGTGCTGGAAAGGCACGGAGGAGGCGGAGGGAGGGGCGAGCGAAGACGGAGGAGGGAGTTGGGCCGAGGGCTACGACGAGGGGCAAGAGATACAGAACGGGATAGGGGAGAAGGAGGATACGACAGGACTTGAAAAAGGATGGCGACGTCTGGGAGGGGGCGGGAGCGCGGGAGGAGATCCAAGGACGACCGCGGGGGGGAGGGAGGACGAGGATGGCGACCACGAGCCGGAGAAGTGGGGGGGGGCGGGCGGGGAGGAGCCCCTCTCGTGGGCGCTATGTGCGGCGCGGCCCTGTGTGATCGGAGCTGTGGCTGGCAGCCGCCCGCTCCCTGCGCCATGAACACTGCGCGCCCCCAATCGTTGATGCGCCTTGGGTTTGCACTTGTCCTCTTCCTTCCTCCTCCTCCTCCTCCTCCTCCTCCTCCTCCTCTTCCTCCCGCTCCTCCAATATGCTCCTCCGCCCTATTCCTCCTCCTCCTCCTCCTCCTCCTCCTCCTCCTCCTCCTCCCTCCGCCTCCTTCTCCTCCTCCCTCCTCCGCCATCCTCTTCCGCCATCCTCCTCCTCCTCCTTCTCCTCCTCCTCCTCCTCCTCCTCCGCCTCCTCCTCCACCTCTCGCCGCTCGCCGCCCTTAAGTCTTCAGATGGAAGTACGAACTTGCAATGCAACGCACGGCGGTGCAACGCATTGGCCAACGATGCGGCGAGAGAGCCATTTTGTTTTAGGGGGGGCTCCATGGAGATCTTTTAAGAGGCAGCTACTGGGAGATGTTCGTCGAAAGGATTAAAGAATATCAAGCCCCATTGGGGGCTGTTACGCCGGAGTGGGCCTCGGATTAAGCCCGATTAAGCGGGAGTAAGCTGGATTAAGCGGGATTGAGCGGGATTGAGCCGGATTTCGGACCAGGGCAACATCAGGATTTGACCTCCCAGGAGTTGCATACGAAGATCCTTGCGTGTGGCGCACGTTGCAGCATGAGCACCAGTGTCGCTGACGCAGGCGTGCGGCCATCGCTGCGACGGAAGCGTCGTTCTCTTCGATGGAGGATCGACAAACAAACATCGCAACTGCGACATTCCAACCGCCCAAACGCCACTTTCATTGATGCACGAGTGTGGCAAGCGCTGTGGCGAAAGTCTCGTTCGGTTGGACGGAGGCTCTCTGGAGGTCGTTAAAGTGGGCCACTCGCTGCAGCGAGTATCACTATTGAAATGCCGAGACCGTGCTCATTTGATCTAACAGTCTAACCATATCGAAGACGAACCGGGGCAATCCCGTGTAACCGTGTAAGAAAACGTACGGGATAGGCAGGCGGAGGCAAAGACAGCATCAGGGGTAGAAGAGCGCTGCACTCAGGAGGAGGACAATGGAAGCCAGTCAAGGAACGATGATGTAAAGGAGGAGAACATGGAGGCAGAGCAGCACAACAGGAGGAGAGATAGGATATGAGGGATGAGGATGAGCAGGGGGAGGAGCAGCAGGGACCGTGGGAGAAATGATGAGTGATTGTGGCTGAGGCGATGCCGCGTGGCGAGGAGGACCAGCAGCAACAACATTGGGACCAGGACGGACCGAGACTGAGATCCTGGCGATGCAATTTCTCACAACGGGCGATTTCGGACCCCAAGACCCTCACAGGTCGATCCGGCTCGAAAAATGACGCAGAGAGATAGGTTCCGGGGCTCCGGTCGTGACTTTCTGCGATGTTGCAATCTTTTGGCAACGTCGGATCTCAGGGGAGGGAAGGATGAGGAGCTTGATGAGGAGCAGGGCTTCGCTTAGGTCGGGCCTGTCACCCTATAGGCGGAGTTGGGAGAAACAGTTGGCAAAACACAACAGGAAATTCAACAAATATCCCAAAATGGTAAAACAAAATCCGTCTCATGACTGTTTTTGTTTGACTATTTTTGTATATTCCCCCTGTAGAGGGACATGCCCGACTTAAGGCTGCGCCCTCCCGGCTTCCGTTGAGCGTTCAGGACGTTGGGCAGGAAGGAAAACAGGACATCGAATATGACGATGTCCGCGCAAGCCCAGATCACGAACATGATCAGGAAAGAGCCTCCCGCGGCGCCCGTGCGTGGAGGAGGAGGAGGAGGAGGAAGAGGAGGAGGAGGAGAAGGAGGAGGAGGAGGGCGGAGGAGCAGGAGGAGGAGAAGGAGGAAGAGGAGGAGGAGGAGGAGGAGGAGGAGGGAGGAAAAGGGAGGAGGAGGAGGCGGAGGAGGTAGAGAAGGAAGAGGAGGCGGAGGAGGAGGAAAAGGAGGAGGAGGTGGAGGGAGGAGGAGGAGGAGGAGGCGCGGCCAGACTAGGCCAGGCTGGCTCCAAGAGGGCAGCGGGGGATGGTGCGGAAGCCCTCCCAGAGGTCGGCCTGGGAATCGGAGGCTGGGCTTCGGAGGTGCACAGGCACGGCCCACGGCCAGAGTCGGACGGTCGGGAGCCAGAGATGGAGGCACGCGAACGAAAAAATCGAGTAGCGAGAAAGAGAAGGAGAAGGGGTCGGAGACCGAGGAGAAGAAGGAAAGGAATGGAGGAGGACAATGAGGATAGGGGAGGGGGGCGATGGGGGAGGACGAAGAGAGGAGGAGAAGGCGAAGGCGAAGGCGAAGGCGCCGGAGTCGGGCACATTGGTGTGCCCGTGCCATTTTGGGCATGGCGCAGGAGGCCGTGGCCTCACATCTCGTGCGAGTAGAAGTCGTGGGCGAAATACTGCAGGAACCAGTACACAAAGAAGGCAAGGAACAATATGCGTATGAACCGCAAGAAAAAGAAGGCGTGGTAGAAGATGTTCGCGGACCAGATCAGAATCGAATCGGTGCGGTCGGTGTCCTAGTTGCTGCTGTTGTGTTGCTGTTCGTGTATAGTGACTGTGGTCAAAGGCTGTCTGGCCTCAAAAGAACGGAGAATAGCTCGACTCGACGAGCTCGCCCGGCATGAGTACAGCAGGGCCGCACACGGTATATCTGACACCACCAGTCAGACGACAAAGAAACTCCAACCACCATACCAAGAAAGAGGTAGATAAAATGGCAAGCATCACGTGGCAGAGCACGACGCCGGGGCAAGCCGGCTGTGTGGCACGAGTGCGCCATAACGCCAGTGATAAAAGTGCCATTCAGAATGCAGCGGTACAAATTTAAGCGCTTCACCTCGGCACCCCTCGGGTCGCAAACGACGAAGAGGAAGGAAAAGGACATGAGGCAGAATAGCTCGATGAGCACGCCCAGCATGAAACATGAAACACAGCAGGGACACATAAGGTATCTCTGACACCATCAGTCAGACGACCAAGAACCTTCGACCACAATCCACAATATGAGTTGATGAAGTGACGAGCAGTAGGTCGCAGAGCACGACGCCGGCGCAAGACGGCTGTGTGACACGAGTGCGCCATAACGCCAGTGATAAAAGTGCCATTCAGAATGCAGCGGTACAAATTTAAGTGCTTCACCTCGGCACCCCTCGGGTCGCAAACGACGAAGAGGAAGGAAAAGGACATGAGGCAGAATAGCTCGATGAGCACGCCCAGCATGAAACGCAGCAGGGACACATGAGGTATCTCTGACACCACCAGTCAGACGACCAAGAACCTTCGAGCACAATCCACAATATGAGTAGATGAAGTGACGAACAACAGGTCGCAGAGCACGACGCCGGCGCAAACCGGCTGTGTGACACGAGTGTGCAATAACGCCAGTGGTAAAAGGAAGGGGAGGCGGCGAGAAAGGGAGGGGCGAGAAGGACGGAGGAGGGGACGGGAGGGACGGGGAAGAGGGATGAGGGAGGAGTAGCGAGCTGAAAAGTAATCAGGGGAGGATGATAAAGAAAGATGCCAACGGTCAGGTCGATGAGCCAGGCGTGGGCGTAAAAATGAAATTGGTCATCATCGTCGCCCCTCACTTTCTGGGATGAGGTTGACGACAAGAGGAGCGGCAACCGATGCCATCTGGCGCCACCCGACGCCATCGTCGCCCCACACCCATATCGTCAGATGCCCTGGCATACCCTCCGAGGTCCCTGCAGCCCAGACGCAGCACCGCCTTTACCATGGAGTACGCGGATCAAGTGCTTCTCGGCTGCAGAAAGGCGTCCGAGAAGGAAGCAAGTACAAACCTGCGGCATGCCCACTGGTTCTTCGAACAAGTCACAAGTCCAACCCAAGACTTAGCCACAAGCAGCAGCGTCAAAGGGTGTACTTCCAATCAATTATATCATTTGCGGGTTGATGTGGGGCGGCGAACTACTGCCGATCTCCAGCAACCGCCCAAGCGCACTCCAGCCCGCAGAATGTACTCAGAAATGCGAAAAAAAACAAACCGAGAAACAGGGAGCGTGAGGTAAACGAAGCGGGCGGGAGAGGATGAGGCGAAGGGCAGGCGACGAATGAGGAGGATCATAAGGAGAGGAGGAAGGAGGAGGCCGAGGAGGAGAAGCGAAGGGAAGGCAGGGGAGGAGATGGACGACGTGGATGTCCCTGCGCCCGCTCTCCGCTTGGGCATTGTAGGGCAGGAAGTATAAGCTGGTGCGAACGGGTCCCGGGCCGCAGGGCTCTCCCCGGGACGAGTTTGCAACCCGGAGCCGTTTCTAGACGGCCCTGGTGTCAGGTCGGGCCTGTCCCCCTGCAGGGGGATTTTGGGCGATTTTTTTTTTAAATAAAAAAAAACTCCACACATATTACCAAGTGGTCGAAAATAGTCAAAACATGGTCCCCAAGCTATGTTTGAAATTTTTTGAATGTCCCTCCTGCGGAGGGGCAGGCCCGACTTAACCCTGGTGCACGGGGATGGCCCTGGAAGCCCGAAGATGGCGCGAAACCTCCAGGACACGAGAACAAGTCCGCTTCAGCAGAGTCCTCTTCGGAAGACCCTCTTCGGCCGTCCCTTCGGCAGACCCGTTGCGGCTCAGGCCCGAAGTGGACATCTACCGACGCAAAGCTCCCGAAAGGGGATTTGTTTGTTGGACCTGCCAAAGAGAACCTGCAGAAGCAGACGTGCGCCGGAGCTCGGGCGGGTGGCAGTGGAAGGTGATCCACATGGGGGGTGAAGAACTGGGACCGAAAGAGGCTTTTTAGGGCCCGTTTAAGAGCCAGCTGGTGCCCAAAAGGAACCCTAAAGGACCCCTTAAAGGCCTTCTGTCTTCACCCCCCACGTGGGCCACCCCCCATTGCCACCCGCCCGGCCGAAGCTGAAAAATTCTCTCCGGTACCCTTCTCTCCTGTGCTTGGTTCTCTTCACGCTGAAAGATGCGAACAACCGTCGGCCCCACCCCCCAAGCGGTCCGTTCATGGTCGGGCAGCAGCCGTAGAGCGCGGCCGAGACCAGCAGCGCGGAGAAAAGGTCGGTGCCGCCGCTCATGAAATCCTCCCCGCCCACCATCACAATGCTCGGGTCTGGAGTGAAATCACGGGACTCGTTCTTGTCCAACTCCGTCTGTCAATTCGTTGTTCTGGTTAAATCGTCTTCTTTGCGGGTCTGGGCACACATTTCATGTCCAGTTCCGGCTCCATTCTTGCGGCTCTGGCGCCGCTTATGCTCCGTCTTGACGAGCAATTGTTGGAGCGTGTGCGCCTTCCCCAGACCCCCGGCGTCATGATTTCTTCGTGACGCGACCCCTAGAGGTCCAGACCCATTCCCTGGGACCCGCTTTTCATCCAGAGTCGTTGTTTGACTCGCGGCCCCGAAGCCCGGTGAGGGTCCCCAACGGCCGAAAATAGCGAAGGGCCTTCCGTCGTGACTTTTCCATTGCTCGAGGGGGTCTGGATCAGGAACCAGAATTTTGAAGAAACGTTGTTGTTAAGGCTCCGCTGCTTCCTCGGCCCACGGGCTCGACGTTCAGATGGTGGGGGCCGCGCATCCGCCAGGGGCTGGGCTTTTAGGTCCGGCAACAGCGACTACAGGCGGTCCAACGCAATATCGCGCGACGAAGCTCAAACTCAACCAAAAATTATCCCGGCAAAGCAACCTAACAGCGATGTGCAGGAGCATATCTGGAAGCATTCCCCTTAAGATTCAGATGAGAATCCAGTTGTAGAATTCTGCTGTTCTCGCAGTCGTAGTCGCATTCGCGATGACAGTCGCAGTGGCAACGGCAGTCGCAGTCACAGCCTCAGCCTCAGCCTGCCTCAGCCTCAGCCTCAGCCTGCCTCAGCCTCAGCCTGCCTCAGCCTCAGCCTCAGCCTCAGCCTCTGCCTTCAGCCTCGGCCTCAGCCTCAGCCTCAGCCTCAGCCTGCATCAGCCTCAGCCTCAGCCCTCGCCTCAGCCTCAGCCTGCAGCCTCAGCCTCAGTCTGCCTCGGCCTCGGTCTCAGCTCTGCCTCAGCCTCAGCCTCATCAGCCTCAGCCTCAGCCTGCCTCAGCCTGCCTCAGCCTCAGCCTCAGCCTCAGCCTGCAGCCTCAGCCTGCCTCAGCCAGCCTCAGCCTCAGCCTCAGCCTGCCTCAGCCTCAGCCTCAGCCTCAGCCTCAGCCTGCCTCAGCCTCAGCCTCAGCCTGCCTCAGCCTCAGCCTGCCTCAGCCTCAGCCTCAGCCTCAGCCTGCCTCAGCCTCCTCAGCCTCAGCCTCAGCCTCAGCCTCAGCCTCAGCCTGCCTCAGCCTCAGCCTCAGCCTGCCTCAGCCTCAGCCTCAGCCTGCAGCCTCAGCCTCAGCCTCAGCCTCAGCCTCAGCCTCAGCCTCAGCCTCAGCCTGCATCAGCCAGCCTCAGCCTCAGCCTCAGCCTGCCTCAGCCTCAGCCTCAGCCTGCCTCAGCCTCAGCCTGCTTCAGCCTCAGCCTCAGTCTGCCTTCAGCCTCGGCCTCAGCCTGCCTCAGCCTCAGCCTGCATCAGCCTCAGCCTCAGCCTCAGCCTGCCTCAGCATCAGCCTGCCTCAGCCTCAGCCTCAGCCTGCCTCAGCCTCAGCCTCAGCCTGCTTCAGCCTCAGCCTCAGTCTGCCTTCAGCCTCGGCCTCAGCCTCAGCCTGCCTCAGCCTCAGCCTGCATCAGCCTCAGCCTCAGCCTCAGCCTGCCTCAGCATCAGCCTGCCTCAGCCTCAGCCTCAGCCTGCCTCAGCCTCAGCCTCAGCCTGCTTCAGCCTCAGCCTCAGTCTGCCTTCAGCCTCGGCCTCAGCCTCAGCCTGCCTCAGCCTCAGCCTGCCTCAGCCTCAGCCTCAGCCTCAGCCTGCCTCAGCCTCAGCCTCAGCCTCAGCCTCGCCTCAGCCTCAGCCTGCTTCAGCCTCAGCCTCAGTCTGCCTTCAGCCTCGGCCTCAGCCTCAGCCTGCCTCAGCCTCAGCCTGCCTCAGCCTCAGCATCAGCCTGCCTCAGCATTCAAAAGGTGGCCCGGGAATGGAGTTCTGGGAACTCGAAAACCACGAAATGGCCTACAGTTGGCTCCGGGCATTCAAAATCATGCCCAGGAATGGAATTCTGGGAGCTCGAAGACCACGAAATGGCCTGCAGTTGGCTCCGGGCATTCATCATCATGCCCAGGAATGGAGTTCTGGGAACTCGAAGACCACGAAGTGGCCTACAGTTGGCTCCGGGCATTCATCATCATGCCAAGGAAAGGAGTTCTGGGAAGTCGAAGAACACGAAGTGGCCTACAGTTGGCTCCGGGCATTTAACATCATGCCCAGGAATGGAGTTCTGGGAACTCGAAGACCACGAAGTGCGTCACTGTTGGTTAAAACAAAATCGCCGGTTTCCCGGGGCACCCTGTCCGGATCCCGCCCAGACCCCCCTCGGGAGTTATGATGCCCTTTTTTGACACAACTAGAAACCTATCATACTTCGCTGTTAGGTAAAAACATCAAACAACTGCGAGTCCAAACCTTCGAAAATCTCAAGCCCCCGGAAAAACTTCAAAACATCGCGAAGCCCAAACCTGCGAAATATCTGGCCCTGGACAACGAGCGCGTCGTCGGGCAGCCCCCGCTCGCGCACAGCCGCTGCGCGAGTCGCGCCCTGCGGCGCGCGGCCACCTCCTGCACGGCGAAACGGCCGCCCTTCGAGAAGGAAGTGCGCGTGCAGAGGGGAGAAAGTGAAGGGGCCCAAGGGCACACAAATCCCAGGATCCCTGTATATGTGCCATATATTTTGGATGTTCGTCTCCCCTTCCAATTCTAATAGTTTCCCATGTGTTCCTGGGGATCGACGATTGATCGCGTCTGTGTTTTTACCCATCCGGAAGAAAGACCTGTGAGACGGCGCCCTGGCCCATGGAGTCATCCTGCCCCCCCGCGACGCTCGGTGACGGCGGTGCGGATTCGTCCCGAGGCCGTGCCCTGCACCGCCCTGCTCGCCCTCTCATCCGAACGCGGAGGAGAGGCTGCTGCCCCCCTCGTGGAGTCCTCTGTGGATGCGGCTGTCCCAAAGCATGTGCCCCCCCCCGACCTCCTGCTCCATGCCCCGTGCCTTTCCCTCCCCTCCCCCGCCTCTGCTTCCCATCCGTCCCGCGAGACTGAAGGCGGGCTGTTGGTCGGCATGCGCTGGTTCCTCGAGGCGGCTGGATTGGGTTCGTTGCTGCAGCATGGGTCTATTTCGCATGATCCTGCGCCCCTTCTGCCCGCCCGTGCGCGTAGCCGAGGCGGGCCGCAGTCTCCTCCCGCGCCGTGCCGACTGGCGCCGCAGCCTGGCCCGCACGACGGGCAAGCGCCGCCCTCCCGTCGAGAAGCCTGGGTCAACGGGCACGTTTCACCCGCATCCCTGAACAAAGCAATCAAAACGCGATCGGCGCCTCGAGCCTCTCGGGCGTCGGTGCAAGCAGGATCACCCTCTCTGTCCCCCCTCCTACCTCCCAGCCCCCTCCCGAAAACCAGACTGGAGTCAGGTCGTCCGTTTGTCCTCCGCCGGCACTTCGAACAAACACACAAACACACACACACACATACACAGGCTGCGGAATCTTTCCTCGCCCGCAAAAGACCCGGGAATTCAGACAGCGGGGCGACCCACTCAACGCCGGGAACGACCTCTTGATCATGGGCAAGAAGCACGTCGGAGATGTGTTCGGGGAACAGCCGCGCCATTGGCAGCAGCGCGAACGCACCCCCAGTGTCCCGCAAGGCGAGCAGCGCCATCCTCGAGGGAGGCGGGCCCACGCCCGTCGTCGCCCAGGATGGCCACAGGGGAGAAGCGCATATTCTTTGGAAATCATGACTTTGAAAGTTCGCGCAGCTGAACAGCGCGTCCATCGTAAGATCAGAATTCAAAGGATTGTTCTTGTCCGCAAATTTCCAGCGCAATCATGCGCTCTCCCATCACAAATAACAAACGCATGAAACCGCACGTCGGCGATAACGCGCGCGCCCGTTGCCCATGCACCGGTTGCTGCGACCCGGGATAGGCGCGAACGCATTGTCTAACGCTGCGTGCGATACCGCTCGCGTTAGCCCTCGCACATGTAAAACAAGACGTTCACCTGCGCGTTTCGTTTACACCCCATATCTATATGCGCGCGCCTAGATCTCATCGCTCGCGCGTGTCATGCGCCTATTAACCTCAGAGCGCGCCACGAGCGGGACCATGGAGAGGTAAATTTGATCAATCGCCCCCTCAACCAGACCTGGAAATTCTGTGGGGGCAATTGCCCACGAGGGTGTAGTCGCATAAACCTAGGCTCCAGGAGTGCAGTGAACATCGATAAGACCATGGTCACTCGGCTGATTCACTTTCAAATACACCCTTTGATCTCAAGGGCGGTCTTGCCTCCAGAATCACCGCAGTAGGAGCCATCGCACCAAGCCTACACAAACGCCCCAAGGACCGAACACCATCCCCAAGATCACCAGACTGATGAAGGGCTCGTCCTGCGCAGGGCCCAGAGCGCCAGGAAGCGCATGGCGAACATGTCGCAGAAGAGCTGGGCGCTCAAGTGTTTGCGCTTCGCCGTTCGTCCGAATGCTGGTTTCTCATGACGCGCGGAAGTTTTCATTGCCTGCGAGGAAGCATAAAAACCGCCGATGCGTCAGGAAGCGATTCATCAACAGAGCTGCTGCTATTGAATTGCTGCGGACCATAGAGGGTGGGGTCGCGATGGGTGCTTGACACTTTGGGGGAGCCCTTTCGTCGTCGCATAGGAACAGAGAGCAGCCTCCAGCAGGTCAACTGCACTAGCTTCACCGTCGAAAAGTTAGAGAGGATGGGAATGGCGAAGCTGATCCTGACGCCTCCAGCGCGCTGGTTGTCACCAACAGAACCAAAGTGCGCGGGGGTCGAATGACCTCGTCGTTCTCCAGACAGATCCCACGTCGGGCGCAGAATGCCCGTCATGGAGAGAAAGATACGCAATGCTACTACGCATTGCGCTGATTCGTAGCAGCAGCGGCTGAGCTAATTTCAAGGGAATACTACTCCTGAGTATAGGCGTGGCACACGGCGGCAGGCAGGTCCTGGATATGTTTCTCGATGAGCCCAATGTCCTCCAGCGCAGCGCCGTCGTTGTTGATGGATACTTCTGATTCCAACCACGGTGCGGGTGTGACAAGATCAACGGTTTCATCGCTGAAGGTGATGCAGCAGAGGCCCTGGTATTTGCCGCGCGCAAGCGTACTTGATGAGCTCCGCCATCCATTGGTGCGATCTAATCTAGATCAAGCTGAGGATAAGAAAAATCAGTGTTGTTTGGCATCGTACGGATCTCATTGAAGTCGATCCTCAGGTCGTGACGGTTCCCCTTATACGCCTGACTGAAATGTACAGGGTGATCCCGAGCATGCTCACAGAAGGCCTTGGCGTGCTCGGACTCGTCGAACTTGATGGCGTAGGCAAAGCGAAGACTGTGTCACTGGCACTGGCACGACTCGTCATCGGACATGGGGCTTCTGATGATGCTGAAGTCCATCTCGAAAACAATCGTCAACTGCTTCTTCGGGGAACCACAAACACAAACGTTTTTTTGTATGAAGGCATGGCGGTGCGCGTTGCTGATCGAGCCGATGGGAAGCCAGTAGATGAGGCAACCTATGATAGGGATATGGCACCTCTGAGTTTCTGGTCGAGGGCAGCACTCTGGACTTCCAGGGCCTGCAGGCGTCATGGGGGAGAGCACGTTGTGGCAACCTCTCTGGTGCCCTCCATTAAGACATCCGCATCTCGTTGCACGCCTTGCAACTTCAGCTCGAGCTCGCCCTGTATCAAGGCATGCGACGTGATGGCCTCCTGCGTGCTGGTGTTCGAGCCTGTGTTCTTGGCGATGCCCTCGGAGAGACGCTGGCTGAGTTCGGCAAGGTTGGCGCCGACGTGCGAGATGTTTGTGTTGACTTGCGCCAGCGTCTGCCCCATGGTGCGCCGCACCTGTGCGGCATCATCTTTCTGGGCTATGCGTGGCGATGGCCAAAATTCTTCAGCTGCGGGGCAGCTCGCTGGAGGGACCGAGTGCGGAGGAACTCCCGGTGCGCGCCCCTGGACCCTCCCCACAGCTCGAGCCAGAAGGGCTACGGATGCTGATGATGATGATGATGGTGATGATGATGGTGATGACGATGATGGTGATGATGATGATGATGACGATGATGGTAATGATGGTGATACTGATGACGGTGGTGATGCTGATGCTGAAAACGATGGCGATGGTGCTGATGATGATGATGATGATGATGATGATGATGATGATGATGATGATGATGATGATGATGATGATGAGGATGATGATGATGATGATGATGATGATGATGATGTCAATGACGATGATGATGACGATGCTGATGATGACGAAGGCGATGACGATGACCATGTCGACGACGATGAGGATGATGGTGGCGATGATGATGATGAGGGCGGTGATGAAGATGGTGAAGATGACGACGGTGGTGATGATGCTGATGATGATGGTGGTGCTACTGCTGATGGGGATTATGATGATGATGGTGCTGGAGATGATGGTGACGAGGACAAGCACGCGCGGGATACTCGAGCGTGACAGACGACGGCGAGGGGAGGTGGGCATGGCCTCACGGTCCCTGCCCCCCCTCCCCTCGTTGAGCAGTGCGCGGGCGTTGAGCCATGTCCGCAGGAAGCCCAGCACGAGCAGCACTGGCACCCGGCTGCTGACCTCCGCCAGCTCCTGCGAGGCCACGTGCCCAGGGAGAGGCAGCAAAGGGCAGCGCCGCCATGCCTGAAGGACAATGCAGTCGGAACGAGGCCAGGAGAACACCCTGCGAGAACACGAGGCCCTCCGCCGGCCAAATCACACAGATCTTCCAAGTGTACCCTCCCGGCATGCACGAGAAAATCCAGCAGACACAAAGAGCGTGGCACCCTCCCCGAACCGACATCGGTCTTATACCTCGGTCCGACTGTAGTGGCTGGCGAACGGGCGGCACGCCCTCCTACCTGTATGCAGGGACTGCCGACCCGCGCCTCGCGACCCGAGGGCGCGCCAGAAGTATTGGCGCGGATTGTCGGGCCTCGAGGGCGGCTCCTGCTCGAGCGGGGGGGCCAATCCGACAACACTCACACCTAGCCCCCCCGCGGAATGCCACTCCGAGAAGTCCGGGGGTCGCATACGTATGGGTGCTGAGGTTGTCAGCTCGTGGTGAACAGGGGCACGGTGAGCAGCAAAGACAGTCGTATAACCCACCAGATCCTCTGGGCTCAGTGCTCCAGCGCGCTTCCTCTTCCGACCCCCTCCTTCCCCTTCGGGAAGGGGTTTGTCACCTCCCCCTGCCCTCTTCCCCAGTTTCTGGACGGGGGCGACGCGACCTGTCAGAGCGTCCAAGCCCGAGATGGCTTCCAAGCCACAAATCGTCCCGACGTACCCCGTACCCCCAAATCACAGGAGATGGTAGACGGCACGCCTCCAAGAGTCCCCACGATCCCTCCAAGACGGCTCCGAGTGGCCACGGGCTTCCCCAGGATGCCCCCGAGACGTCCTGCTCCGCCCAAAACTGAGGGGAAGCTTTCATGCGTGCTTGCCCGCTGTTTCGGATCCGAGGGGCTTGCGAGACCTCGAGATGGCTCCAATGGCCGCAGGAGGGACACCCAAAGGGCTCCAAGACGGCTCAAATCGCGCCCAAGAGCGCCCAAAGAGGGCCCCGGTAGTTGATTTGTCTGGCAGCCACAGCTGTTCGGGGACCCCCCTCCGCTCAAAGCCCAAATCATTGAATAAACAATGCACGTGCGTTACTCGACCGCATACACTCGTATACGTGAAAGCGCGGGTGTAAACGCGAGCGCGTGTATACTTGGTATGCGTGTTTTGGTAGCTTTGCACATCGCCGAAGCTATCATGAACACCAGCATACGCGAAACTATGCACACCACGGTGGCACAACACTTCGCATACAGAAGTCTGCGTGAAATTGTCGCCGCCATAAATCACAATAACCAACCAATCAGCACGTGTACGAACCATCCTTCGGGTGGTAAGGAGGTTCGGGGGGGAAGAACCAACGTTTCACTCAATCAATATCATTACCTATCTCACGATCAAGATGACGATCAATATCACTATCGATTTTTTCACTATCGATCGTACCATCGATCTCACTATCAATCTCGATATCGATCTCACGATCGATCTCTATCGATCTCACTTATCGATCTTAGGACCGATCTCGCTATCGAACTTACTATCGATCTCACTACGGAACACCGACGGGGCACCGGCAGGACACCGATGGGACACCGACGGGATACCCACGGGACATTGACGGGATAGTGACGGGACGCCGACGGGACACCACGGCGCACGGCGGGACAACCCAGCCATCGCTCGCCCACCGGGGAAGGTTCGGACAAGCGTCTTGCGTGGCCCTAGCAACAGCGGCGACATTCCTCTCGCCCGCCCACGCAACTTCGCCTCGCCGCACGCACGACGCGAACCCGAAACCGAAACCGGTTTCCCGGTGGAAGGCTCCCCGTTCCACTTCGACATCACCGCCCAACCGCCGATGAATGAATGCACGCGCTCAATTACACATCCGTGTTCTCATTCTATGCTCTCACGTCTGGAGACACTGGGGCCAGCGACCAACACAGAATTGAAATCGCGAGCACTCGTGCACCTATGAATACAAACGCACGCGCGCGTGAAAGTAGGAGTGTGCGTGAAAGCGCACGAAATGTAGGGCACCAGATGCGACTGCAAACGCGCGTGCACGCGCATCTGACAGCCACCAACCAGGCGCAGTCCACGCCCACGCGCGAGCAAACGCGCAGATGCAAACGCACACGCGCCCACACTGCAGCGATACGCGCGCGCGCGTGTGAAACAGGCATCGCCGCGACCTGCACGCCGCACTCCAACCGGGAACGTGCGCGCACCTCGAGGCAAGGCGGGTCGAGACCACCGCAGCACAGCATCGGTCCCCCAAGACCCCCTCCAGGATCCGAGCGCATCCGTGTACCCGAGCCGCGTCCAGCCGCGGCGACGGGCGAGCCCCCCCGAAGGCCAGCCGCCGCTGCCTCGCCTCGCCCTCCTCCGAGCACGAGGACGCTTGCGCGCCACAGCCCGGGCGGACGCAGCAGCGGAATGGACATGCAGCGGAGGCCAGTCCACAGGAAACCTTCCACAGGAAGCCCACCCCCGAGACACCAGGACGTCCACTGAGTATTGACGTGGAAACGCCACGCGCTCCATGGCAAAACCATCGACACCCAAGGAACGCAGGGCACCCTGGAGGCAAGCAGGGAGTGTCTTGACATGGGTTTCCGCTGTAAACGCGTGGAGTTCGGGACGGAGTTCTTGCATCTGCGATGAATGCCCCTCCCTGGCGCGCGGAGAGCGCCAGGGGCGGCGTTGGGGGCGCCGCCACGGGGGCTTCAACGCCGATCCCAAAAATCCGCGCGGAACGCCGAACGTTTCTGCTCATGCCGCGTGTTTCTCTTCGACGAAAGCCAACTGCAGTCGAACCCTGGACAGAAGAGCACCCCTCACGAACACGAGACCCTCCACCGGCCAAGGCGCGTAGAGAACATCCGAGGGTATACCCTCCCCAGGGTGCAAACGAACATCAACAAAAACACGAACACCAGGGTTCCCACCCCGAACCGACCTCGATCTTATGCCTCGGTCCAACCCCAGACCCCCGACGTCATGTTTTTTCATGACGCGACACCCAGAGGTCTGGACCCCTTCCCCAGGACCGGCTGTTCATCCTGGGTCGTTTTCTGGCGGTCCCGAGGCCCCGTAAGGGCTCCCAGAGGCCGACAATAGCGACATACCTTCCATCAAGATTTCTTCTCAAAACGCGAAGGGGGTTCTGGGACTGTGCTGTGGTCTCAATTCTCGCCCTCCTCTCAGGGCACCTGCACGCCACAGTCGTCTGGCACGGAGCGCGCGCGCGCGCGCGTCACTGAGCCTTCGGGCGCCCTCGGGGGGGGAGCCCTCGGCGGCCGCGGGGGGGCTCCTCGCTCGCGCGCGAGGGCTCGAAGCGCAGCCGCGCGATGGGCGGCGAGCAGACCGCTGCGCAGAGGCGCGCCTCTCGCAGCGCGGAGGCGGGTCAGACAGGCCTCGGACAAAAAACAGCGAACACGCATGCCACATTACTCCTCCTCATTCTTCTCCTCCTCCTCCTCCTCCTCCTCCCCCTCCTCCTCCTTCTCTTACTCCTCCTCCTCCTCCTCCTCCTCCTCCTCCTCCTCCTCCTCCTCATTCTCCTCCTCCTCCTCCTCCTCCTCCTCCTCCTCCTCCCCCTCCCGTCATCCCCCTCACTTTGGCACACCCCTCACACGCTTCGTGGCCCAATACAGGCCTCGGAAAAATAGCGAACACGCATGCCACATTCATCGGTTAACGCCTCCCCCTCCCCCCAGTGTTCAAAGTTGGCGGTGGATCTGATGAGTTGCACTTCGCCCGCAGTCTCCCCCGCGCGTGCCAACTTCGAGTTTGGGGGAGCGGGGGAGTGGCCACGAATTGTTTCCCCCTGCTCTGCCAGATGGTCGCTCTGGGGACCTTCCTGCCAGGGGGAGGGGGGGGGGGGGGGGGGGGGGGGGGGGGGGGGGGGGGGGGGGGGGGGGGGGGGGGCGAAACTCGCCATCGCACGGACGTCCATTCCCCGTGCACTGTTCGGCGTCGTGCGCTTTTTTATTCGCACGAAGATCCAGGATGCTCCTCGATCGTCCTCGCCGAGACAGAAACGCACATGTCCAAGCGATGTTGAGGAGACGGCAGGATAGCGAAGGGTAGGGTAGAGAATCAGCTCACGCAGCTGGGTCTCCTCGCGCCTCCTGGCGCCGGGAGGCGCCCATGCGTCGAGGAATGGGCCCGGAGGCGGGGCCGAAACCAGCCGCATGCAGCAAATTTAGTACCCCACCCCTTCCCCATCCTACCGCCCTCCCATTTCGCCCGGCCCACTGGAGCCACTCGCTCCACGCCTGCGCCGATGCTGCGTCGAACGTCTGTCGACCTGGGTCGACCCCGAGTCGGCCTCGAGCGTCGAGCGTCGAGCCGCACAAAAAGCCGAGCTGGAGTCGAGCAGCTCCGTGAACATGGTCCCGGGGGCGGGATCCCTGGAGAGCGAGCACCCGAGGCAGGGCCCGAGGCGCCGACTCCGCCAGGCTGGAGGCCTCCCGGAGGGGGTCGGAGTGGATGGGGTCGGAGCATCGGCGAGGCATCGCCGAGGCATCGGCGAGGCATCGGCGACGCATCGGCGACGTCGGCGTGACGCGCATCGGGCTCCGTATAGAGCCGCAGCGGCGATGCATCAGCGAGGCGGCGCGATCCTCCGGCCCCGTCCACTCTGACCCTATTGGGAGGCCTAGAACCCAGACCCCCGACGTCATGATTTTTTCATGTCGCGACCCCCAGAGGTCTGGACCCTTTCCCCAGGGCCGGCTTTTCATCCTGGGTCGTTTTCTGGCGGTCCCGAGGCCCAGCGAGAGCCCCCAGAGGCCGAAAACAGCCCCACCCCCCCCCGCCGTGATTTCGTCACAACGCAAAGGGGGTCTGGGAACCCAGAGGCCGACCCCATCTGGGAGGCCTGGACACGCCGAGGCCTGAGGCTTTCGAGGCTCCAGGCTCTCGGGCGTCTTCGTCGGCCCCTCGACGCTGCTCCTGCGCCTCGCGACGCGCTCCGGCCGCGGCGCCTCGCCGACGAGCGCTCCGGCGTTGCCCAGATCGTCCCAAACATCAGCCAGGGGCCCCAGTTATCACACCGAACAAAACATGTCGCGAGGAGAACAGAGAGGGGGAGGAGGGGGAGGAGGAGGAGGAGGAGGAGGAGGAGGAGGAGGAGAGGAGAGAGGGAGGAGAGGAGGAGGGGGAGGAGGAGGAGGAGGATAAGAGGAGAGGAGAGGAGAAGGAGAAGGAGGATGAGGAGAAGGAGGAGAAGGAGAAGGACGAGGAGGAGGAGGAGAAGGAGGAGAAGGAGAAGGACGAGGAGGATGAGGAGGAGGAGGAGGAGGAGAAGGAGAAGAGGAGGAGGAGGAGGAGAAGGAGGAGGAGGAGAAGGAAGGAGGAAGAGGAGGAGGAGGAGGAGGAGGAGACGGACAAGGATAAGGAGAAGAAGGAAGAGGAGGAGCAGGAGAAGGAAAAGGAGGAGAAGGGGAAGGAGAGGGGGAAGACGACAGCGATACCGTGCACTTCCCTCGTCGTCGCCACGACCGAGTCCGCCTCGAAGTCCTGGTCAGAACGCACTCACAGAGCGATCCTGGGAGTTGGGGTATTGGTAGACCTGGTCGTCCCCCAGAGGACGAGGATGAGAATTAGGAGAAGAAGGATTGTAGTGTAGCGCTGATGCCCTTTCGGGTAGTCCTGCCCAACTTTGCATCGGGTGGAGGAGGACGAGGAAGAGGATGATGATGAGAAGGAGGAGGAGGAGGAGGAGGAGCAGGAGGAGGAGAAGGAGGAAGAGGAGGAGGGGGGAGGAGGAGGAGGAGGAGGAGGAGGAGGAGGAGGAGGAGGAGGAGGAGGAGGAAGAAGAGGAGGCGGAGGAGAAGGAGGAGGAGGAGGAGGAGGAAGACGACGACGAGGATGTCCTTCTCCTCCGCACCGAGCCCAAAAACGCCCTCCCAAAAAGCGCAACAAAACCCGCGGCGACAGAAACTCCGCCGCAGATCCTCGAGGCAACGGGCAGGCGCCTGCCAGCCTGCCTCCCCGGCGGCCATCGCCGGTCCGCCGCTGGGGGGGGAGGGGCGGATCAGCTACCGATACCGTCACCGTTGATTCCCACATTCGGCAGGGCGCAGGCCTGCAGGACGAGTCGGACACGAGAGAAAGCAGCATACACGTCGCTCGGATGAAACTGGTAACAGCATGAAGTAGAACGGCGGGTCAAGCAGATTGGGTTCAGGCTCTCACAGAGAATAATCAAACACAGCAACAGCATACCGATTCTTGAAGTAGGAAGGCGCTTGAAGAAGACTGGGATATGGGAATCCAGCAACACCTGCTTTCAACGACCGGCGTGTAATCTCGAATGCGCCCCGAGCAGGTCCAACACCATCGCCCTGCCTCTCCAAGGGGCGCGCCCCGGCAAGGACTCCGAGGAGAATCCAGCCATGGCAACGAGGGCTCTTGAGGACGAGCCTGGGGGTCCCCAAACGGTGCGGCGACGGAGCGCGAGGTGGCCGCGGAGCCCACGGAGACCGCACGGCGCGGTCCGTCACCGCACGGGGTGGTGGGGACCGTGGGGGCCCCCATCGCCCGCGACGTCCTCGGCGAGCGACCCGAGTCCCGAGACCGCGCGGCCCCCCCGCATCCCGACCGACTCACCAACCGGTGTTGTCACCGCACCGCTTGGGCCCCCCCGACGAGCAGCGGCATCTACAGGGAGGGCAAGAAACCAGAAACATACTTTCTCTGAGCTCTGCGCCGCTGATGTCTTGGATCGGCGCTGCATGCCACAACGGATGGCGCGCGGAGCGTGCCAGGGGCGGCGTCGGAGGCGCCGCCAGGGCCTGCGCAGAGCTCTGAGAAGTTACTCGGACCCCATTCACTCGGAACCCCATCTCTTCGGACGCCATCCAGCGGCGCGACCCTCTGACCCCATCTGCTCGGACCCCGTCTGGGAGGTCCGGAGCTTGGGGGTACCTTCTTCCTCCTCGCCAGACACCCGACCTCACGATTGCTCCACGACGCGACCCCTATGAGAAGGTCCAGACCCCTTCCCCAGGACCGGTCTGTAACCCATCCCGAGTAGGCCTTTGACGGTCCCAGGGCCTGGTGGGGGCACCCATAGAGGCCTCCTAGATGGGGTCGGAGCAGATGGTGTCTGAGGATCGCGCCGCATCGGCGACGTCGGCGTGAAGCAACTCGGGCTCCGCATAGAGCCGCATCGGCGATGCATCGACGATGCGGCGCGATCCTCCGAGCCCCTCTACTCAGACCCCATTGGGAGGCCTAGAACCCAGACCCCCGACGCCATGATTTTTTCATGGCGCGACCCCCATGAGCTCTGGACCCTCTCCCCAGGACCAGCTTCTCATGCAGAGTCGTTCTTTGGCTGTCACGAGGCCCAGGGCCCCCAGGGGCCGAAGACAGCCCCAAACCTCCCGCCGCGATTCTGTCACAACGCAAAGGGGGTATGGGAACCCAGAGGCCGAAAGTGTACTTCAGATTTCGTAATAAAAGGGAGGGGGTCTGGACCCTCCAAGACAAGCCATTTCAGACCTCCCCCGTGGGAGAACCCCCCAAAACATCGTCCCCAGACCCCCCCAGGCCCTCCAAGATAGCCTGGAAAAGACCCCCCCCCGAAATGAGACCCCCTCCCTTTTATTACGAAATCCGGAGTATCGAAAGACCTCCCTCTGTGATGTTTCCGTGGCTCGAAGGAGTCTGCCGTGAAAGGCTTAACGACTTCTGCCGTCCTTCGACTGGCGCTGGCGCGGCTGCAGGTTGCTCCACTTGTCCCCGAAGGTCTCTGGACTTCTCTGGACCTGCCTGGATTTACCCGGATCTACCTCGACTTCTTGGCATTCACATGGATTTATCTGCGTTTACCCGGGCTCAGCTGGCTCGATCCCCCCACAAGTCGATGGGCGAAAAGTCGCCAAGCCCTGAGGGGACTCTGGGCCTCGAGCCGCCCCCCCCCTCCCCCGCGCACCCCGCGCCCGCGGCGCGGCGCGAGGGCGCGCCCCGCACGCGTCTCCGGGCCCCTCGGCCGCGCCCCGCGGCCGCTGCAGGCGGCTGCGCGCGCGAGGCCACGCCGAAGCTGGGCGAGCCCGCAGGACCGAGGAGAAGAAGCGTCGTGTTGCGGGGAAGGGCTGGGAGAGGAGGAGGAGGAGGAGGAGGAGGAGGAGGAGGAGGAGGAGGAGGAGGAGGAGGAGAAGGGCGAAAAACCTCAGGACCCGTTTACCCCATGGCGACGCACCAGGCGGGATCAGCATCGTTCAACCGATCCCCATCCCCATCCCGATCCCCATCATCCCACCACCCTATTTTGGGGGATGTGCCCCTCGAAGCCCGAAGGGAACCGCCTATGTTCCGATCTCGGGTGTGAATCGGCCAGTGGGGCCCAGGCCACGCCAGTGAGGATAGGGATCGGTTAAACAATGCCCAGAAGAAGGGCATGAGCAATACAGTGCCCTGAGATCCTGGCGTCTCAATATTTTCGAGCCCGTCGATGTCGTGTGGTTTGGGGCACCAGGACCCTCCCATATCGATCCAGCTCGAAAAATGACGCAGAAGTATGGGGTCTAGGGCTTTGGAGGTGACTTTTCGCGATGTTTCAATGTTTACGCGCCGTCGGATCTCAGGGTAGGGGCTCGACCACAAGAAACCCTCCACAAGAGACCCAACCCTGAGACCCCAATACGTCCATTGACTCTTGGTGTGGGAGCGTCGCGCTCTCCCTGGCAAAACCACGGAAACCCGCGAAGCCCAGGGCCCCCTGGAGGCAAGCGGGATGTTTTTCTTGGCATGGGCCTCTACTGCAGAACCCGGATGCAATGAACGATACCTTCGGCCGCCTACGGGCAAGGATCACCTCATTGCTCCCGACCCCAGCCTCCCAACGCGACTAGCTGCGTTCCTGAGACACGGACCCGCGCAGCCCTCTCGCGCAGCCTGCGCGCAGCCTCTCGAAAAAAGGGCTCGCCTCCCTGAGACCCTGGCGTGGCAATTTTTCTCGCACTGGGCGCTTGCGCTCCATGTGTATATATATATATATATATATATATATATATACATATACATTTATATATATATATATACACAAGACTGCATTGGCGCTTCGCGCCATGCGCCTTGTTCCGGACGCTTCTCGGAAAAGCAATACGTCATCGCGTGTTTCAGCAGAGGGGGCGTCGAGGCCTGGACGGGCGACTGGCTCATTACCTAACAGCGAAGACTGATAGGTTTCTAGTGGTGTCAAAAGAGCTCACAGATCACTCCACAGGGGGGTCCGGGCAGGCGTTGGGAGTTGCCGGGCGGCAGGGGGCCCCGCTCGTTTTTCACCAACAGTCACACACTTCGTGCTCTTCGACTTCCCAGAACTCCATTCCCAGGCCACATTCTGGAGGGCCGGATGCAACAGTCACACACTTCGTGCTCTTCGAGTTCCCAGAACTCCATTCCCGGGCCACATTCTGGAGGGCCGGATGCAACAGTCACACACTTCGTGCTCTTCGAGTTCCCAGAACTCCATTCCCGGGCCACATTTTGAATGCCCGGAGCCAACTGTAGGCCACTTCGTGCTCTTCGAGTTCCCCAGAACTCCATTCCCGGGCCAGATTTTGGATGCCCGGAGCCAACTGTAGGCCACTTCGTGTCTTCGAGTTCCCAGAACTCCATTCCCGGGCCACATTTTGGATGCCCGGAGCCAACTGTAGGCCACTTCGTGCTCTTCGATTTCCCAGAACTCCATTCCCGGGCCACATTTTTGGATGCCCCTACATTTTTGGATGCCCTGAGCTAACTGTAGGCCCCTTCGTGTTCTTCGAACTTCCAGAATCCTTCCCGGGCCACATTTGGATGCCCTCCGCCTCCTCTTCCTCCTCCCCATCCTCCTCCTCCTCCTCCTCCTCCTTCCTCCTCCTCCTCCTCCTCCTCCTCCCTCCTCCTCCTCCTCCCCCCCTCCTCCTCCTGCTCCTCCTCCTGCTCCTCCTCCTCCTCCTCCTCCTCCTCTTCTCATCATCATCATCATCATCATCATCATCATCATCATCATCATCAGCATCATCATCATCATCATCCTCATCATCATCAGGCTGGAGGCTGAGCTTGAGGCTGGGCAAGGCTGATGCTGAGGCAAGGCTGAGGCTGAGGCTGATGCAGGCTGTAGGTGAGGCAGGCCGAGGCCGAGGCCGGGCTGAAGGCAGACTGAGGCTGAGGCTGAAGCATGCCTGAGGCTGGCTGAGGCAGGCTCTAGCCTGAGGCTGAGGCTGAGGCTGAGGCTGATGCAGGCTGAGGCTGAGGCAGGCTGAGGCTGAGGCCGAGGCTGTAGGCAGACTGAGGCTGAGGCTGAAGCAGACTGAGGCTGAGGCTGATGCTGATGCAGGCTGAGGCTGAGGCAGGCTGATGCTGAGGCCGAGGCTGAGGCTCTGCAGACTGATGCTGAGGCCGGAGGCCGAGGCTGAAGGCAGACTGAGGCTGAGGCTGAAGCAGGCTGAGGCTGAGGCTGAGGCCGGCTGAGGCTGAGGCTGAGGCCAGGCTGAAGGCTGAGGCTGAGGCTGATGCAGGCTGAGGCTGAGGCAGGCCGAGCTGAGGCCGAGGGCAGAGGCAGACTGAAGGCTGAGGCTGAGGCTAAGGCTGAGGCTGAGGCTGAGGCTGAGGCTGAGGCTGGCTGATGCTGAGGCAGGCTGAGGCTGAGGCTGAGGCTGAGGCAGGCTCAGGCTGAGGCAGGCTCAGGCTGAGGCCGAGGCTGCAGGCAGACTGAGGCTGATGCTGAGCCAGGCTGAGGCTGAGGCTGAGGCAGGCTGAAGCTGAGGCTGAGGCTGATGCTGAGGCAGGCTGAGGCTGAGGCTGAGGCTAATGCAGGCCACTGCGACTGTCATCGCGAATGCGACTACGACTGCGAGAACAGCAGAAGTCTACAACTGGATTCTCATCTGAATCTTAAGGGGGATGCTTCCAGATATGCTCCTACACATCGCTATTAGGTTGCTTTGCCGGGATAATTTTTCTGCTATCCCTGGACCTTGCTAACAATGCGTTCGCCCGATGGGTTTGCACGCCTGTGCGCAAAAAGTGGGGAGGGAAGGGTGATTTCTCCATGCGCGAATGTGCTGTCTTCGGGTGCGAACCACTCGTTTCCATGACAACGACGACGCCGACGACGAAGACGACGACGACGACAACGACGACGACACGCCATCATATTTTACAACAGGGACAAAATAAACGGTGGAACATGTACGCGGCTGGAGGGCAGCCCACTTTTTCAACCTGACGATTGGTCGCTTCCTGAATGCCTGGAGCCTGGAGGGGTCCTGGACGCTTGTGGGGCTTCTGAAGTCCTTTCGAACCACCGTCCTGCGAACTACGGCAACGTGGAAGCTATATTGGAACGGTGTGGGCTCGCGTTTGAGCTCCTGGTGACTCTCCGGACCAGAGGACTCCTTTTGGGGCTGTTTTGGGCCGTCTGGGAGCCCTCTTGGGCCGTCCCGAAACCCTCTTGTGGCCGTTTTGGGAGGCCGGGCCGGCCAGGGGCTTTTCGGAGGCCCTTTTGGGACACTCTTGGGGGCCTCCTGTGGCTCTCTTGGGGCTCTCTTGGGGGTTTTCGGGGCCCTCTGGGGCCCCTCTTGGGCCGCCTCGGGCTTCTCTTGATCCGTCTTGGAGCTCTTTTGGGCCGCCTTGGGCCGCTCATAAAGGCCTCGGAGGCCGTCCTGGGGCGATCTTGAAAGTCTCTGGGGATGCCGTGGACGCTGTGAAAGCGGGAAAACCTGATATCTTCAAAAGCGTACGTTTCCTCGGGGGATGGGACGAGTTTTGGCTCATGGGGGTCCCTTTTGGGGCCTCTTGGACAGTCTTGGGGGCCTCGTGGGCCGTCTTGAAACCAGATTGGGCTTTATTTGAGCGCTGATGGGCCGTCTTGGGGCCTGTTTTGGGCCCGTGGGCTCCGATCGGCAGGGGCGTCGGGTAATACAAATCTAAGAATACTGTAAGAATAAGAACATACATACATACATACATACATACATACATACATACATACATACATACATACATACATACATACATACATGTATGCATGCATACATACATACATACATACATACATACATACATTACATTACATTACATTACATTACATTACATTACATTACATTACATTACATTACATTACATTACATTACATTACATTACATTACATACATACATACATACATACATACATACATACATACACACACACATACATACATACATACATACATACATACATACATACATACATACATACATACCATACATACATACATACATACATACATACATGCATACATGCATACATACATACATACATGTATACATACATACATACATGCATGCATGCATGCATCCATGCATCCATGCATACATACATACATACACACATACATACATACATACATACATACATATATACGTTTACGTTTACGTTTACGTTTACGTTTACGTTTACAGTTACAGTTACAGTTACATGTACAATTACATTTACATTCACAGTTACATGTACATTTACATTTACATTTACATTTACACATACACATACATATACATATACACATACTTCACATATGCACATACATATACATAATTATATATATCGGGCCCCGGGGCCCTCACAGATCGATGCGCCTCGAAAAAAAAGGCCCAGACAGGTGGGGCCCGAGGCTCCGGTCGTGATCATGTTTCGACATTGGGCGGAAAGGGGGGGGAGGGGGGGTCTGGCCCCGACCTCTGCTTGGCGCGACTTGCTTGCAACAGTGCGTCCTTTGGGGGACTCTTACCTGCTCGAAGCAGGCGCCCAGACCAGCCAGGATCTGCTCCGTGTGCAGGGGGGAGGGGGTGGTGCGAGGGCCCGCGTCGATCGGCAAAACAACGAATAAGACAACGATCATTTTGCGATGTTGCACTTTTGTTTGCAGCGTCGGACCTCAGGGCTCAAAGATCCCGCCCTCCCATACCATGCTGCTGACTCCCATGCCATCCGGCTGGTCCCCATACCATCCTGCCGGCTCCTGCGAATCGACGCTCGCCGGCGC